ACATGCCAGTATTTTTCAAATACTGATTGGGATGGGGGCTTGCCGTTAGGGAAAACTGCTCGGAAGAAGAGCCATACCGGAGTTATGTCATCCATTTCATGAAGAGTTCTGTCCGGCGTCGGGCGGCCCACCACTTTCGTCAAAAAGTGTTCGGGTACTGGCGGCTGCGATTGGGACTGAGAAGCTGGTGGGGTCGGGCGTTTTTTAGGGCTCGGTTTTGCAGGTTTGTCCACTTTTGAGCGGTAGCTGGGAGACATCAATAAAAAGATATGAAACCTACGATGAGAAACCTTTTTAGTCACGGACCGACTTTCTTGCAATTAATACTTCTCCACATTTAGAAGCCCTAACCATCATAGCACAATCTCTGATCTTATTTAATAGCACATTGATAAACTGATTTGGTTCATATCTTAATTTAGTGGTGGTCATCTGTTAAGTGGTACAGTAAGGCTATTCAACGGTATACTGTAAGTGAAGGTCTCGCATGGAAATCATCACTGAACACATTATCATCGATGCATGACTGACGTAGTTGTATCCATAGGGGGATGTGGAATTATATGTATATATTTAACCTTATACATAAAGATTTTTGTTCATCATTTATTTACAAGGGTATGTTTTGAACAGACCTAAAGGCCAAGCTTTCTTTCTTTCTTTTTCATAGACGGCCAATATAATTCTGACATTATTGCCAACGTGGACTAACTAACGCGGGAAACTCTTTATCCATTGGATCAGACTCAATGACGCTAAATAGCCAATCGTCCACATTGGCGGAGCTGATGTCTGGAAATATAAATTAAATCCTAAAGCAAAATCGATGACGACAACAATAGTGTGGCTGTTGACAAGCATCGCTTCTCCCTTCTTGAAGAACTTTCTGCTTTGTATCTCAACGCCACTGACCAGAGTTGAATAGATAACTTCGCTTTATAATCTCTACTTACGTTACTCGTATATCCTTGTGACTACTGCAACTCATTTTACCTTTTCGCTTTGCGCGTTTTACGAGTCCCATCATTTCTTACTATTTCTTTGAGAATACTATGGGCCATACACAATACATGTATATAGTAAAAAAATATTCGGACGAGATCTAATGCCGTGGGCAACCGGATGGATGTGGTCCACACCCAAAATAATATCATTGATTACATCAATAATTCTATTCACACATTAAAAAAATGAACGATTTAATTTTCTGCTGATCCTTAACACCCGAGCAATAAGAAGAATGTACTACATATGTGAATAGTCTGTTATATAAGTGTGATATTAGTAGCCTATACGATTGTAAATATTGCGACCCGTGTCGAGATCAAATATGCGACGAACGCTACTATTTTTGTATTATACTCCTCGGTGACTTATGCTCAGCGTGGGACATAAACATAGGAATACTGGCTTGACAAATCATAACATTACTACATAAGTATTCATCAGCAGTCGTTTAATTGCACATTTTGCGGATTGTCATCGAGAGATACAATAAGTCAATTGAAGTACATGCTGCAAACATTGTAGTATTTTAACTCCATGTAAGGATGCGTTGTATTTTGTAGTGAAGTATGATTAATTGCAATTAATTACCAATTAGAATACAGTGACTTCGCTCTCGATGTTGTGTATATCTGTCTATCTCTTAAAAAACATCAACCCATATTTATATATGCATGTAATATTTTACTGGAACATGTCATTAACTTTACTATGAGCATATATGTGAGATATTGTAGCTACTAATTCGAATCTTATAAAGTACTTGGCACACAATACTGATAGTCAAGTTCGACATCATTGCTGGACAATGCATATTATTGAATTGCATAGTCATTGATACAAAGAAATACTAGTGAGTGTGGCGCTGACACTTTGTTCAGTTTCATTGGACATTCATTCAGACACAATCAAATCTCTACACTCCGATAGCATTCAATCGCGTCATATCGAACAAATTACATGTACATTGAGAACAAATGGTCATATACTGACTAGACAAAATGTCGGTTCTTAAATATCAACACCCGGTCTCATCCACGTATCACCTATTTCTTCATGCTTTTGGGCTCTTGCATAGAACATGACATTGAACGAGACAAAGCAAATATGTACAAGACACGTACTCTATAGCCGATTATTTTCGGCCTGGTACATGGTAAAATCGATCGCGAAATGCATTTATTATGCAATAATCTATATGCGTCCCATATTATCTAGCCAGTTTTACCGTGTGATATAAATAAACGTCGGAGCACTGCTAAACTTGAATCACTCTCACTCATAGAATAATATTACGAAACCAAGATAGTAATCAATCCTATACACTCATGCACCAGTGTGTAAACCATATGCGAATTTATTTTTGTAGCGTCTATTTCTGATATACAGAATTACGTGCATTCTAGCTTTACTGGTCAGCTGGGCAATGTAGTTTGTCAGCGGTATTTTTCCGCCGGTGAACTATTATCATAAATGGTGTTAAGCTATATACAGAAAATCCGAATTGAAAAGTTTAAATTTTATAGCTGCAGTAATCAAGCTTTGGGCTGTGTGTACATGGCATTGAGTGTACCTATACTACATCGATTTAGTTCGTTCTTATTGCAGAATATATTACCCCGATATGGCCAGCACGTGTGAATGATGCAACCACACTTTGTAGGAAGTACTGAACTGAGAATCCGCTTGATCGTACGCTAGATGATCGTACGCCTCAAAAAATATCGCAAAATAGAATTTGCAAATATATTGAGCTCTGGGTTGAATTTGCCATTCATTGATTTAACACACCAATCACACATTACTGGTGGCTTTACAATGATGTTCGTTAATGTGTAACGTTAACTGATAGATATATAATTTCTTATATGGAGTATATTAATGCTGTCGGTGCAAACGATAGTATATCTAAAAAATGTGAGCACAAGTTAGACAAATCATCTTTAATATTCAAGCCGTCCAGTGCGCAGCCACAAACTGCTTGCTTCGAACCTACAGTAGATATGTCCTTGCAACTTAACCCCCCTCCACACGGCGTACAAGAGCAACTGCACTGATAGCCAATATCATTTAAGTAGAAACGGCTTGTAATCGACTGTGTAGAGTTTTATCGATTGTCGCGTATTTAGATCTAGTGGAGGTGCCACAAGAAATAGACGTATATTGGTATATTGCACTGGTAGGCGGTGTTGGTAGTGAAGATAACATCACACTCTGAAGTCTTAAATAATATATGCCAAAGTACATTCATACATGCACTATTTTAATGGGGAATATCGATGCCTTATATTGGACTAATCGTGATCAATTTACTTCTGAAATGATAATTTTCACATGTTCGCTACCACGTACTGCGACAGAAAAGCGATTAAGAGGCAGAGATACAATGAATTTAAATGAACTATTGTTGTGGTTCGATGAGACTCGTGTCGCTTGTGCAAATTTCAACTTTGAACCCTCAATATAGGATCAGTAAACGATATATATATTATGAGTCAACCATGTACAACACTCGAGTATATCTTAGTTTTTTAAATAATGTTTCAGTACGACTTTAGTTAATCCATCGTATAAATTACCGGGGGATTGTACACGAAATTCATATCCACAAAATTTTATCGATTTCCAGTGCTGAGTGTACATATTCTGATGCAGATATTGATATATTGTGCCCTATTGGGGGTATGTAGTAACCCTATTAGCTGCAAGTAATATACGTCCATCTGGGGCTGATAATCGCGTCATGGCAATTAACTACATAGAAGTCATTCAGGTGTATTTTGAGCGACATTCCCCGATGCCGTCTGCTATTCGCTTGTCTGCGTGAAGCATCAGATAAGTCCATCACTCATGATTCAATTGAAGAATATGTAATGAAAACGCAAAAAACATTGACAGATAGACATATTGAAAAGCCATAACGACATTGGTTCAGTAAGGATTTATTTATTGCTTATGATATCACAAACACTCATCGATAACAGTTGGAATTAACAATGATGTTAGACTTCAGAATCATTTCGGCATACAAAAATGAGTGCCGTTAATGGTCTATGGACAGATGAGAATATATAGTCATAGTATATTAGCCATAACACAAAGTATTGCGCCCAGAGCGTAGTAGTTGATATCCGAGACCTATCAAAATCGTCCTCGAAAAACTTTTAACAATATTGGAAGAAGAAGAATCTGATTTTGCCATCATGATTTTATATAAGTTGTCTATAGTGTACTGTTTTGAAATAAACACTTTATAAACGGTCATATTCATTATAGATAGCAGGTGATGCCTGTCTGCAAAAATATCACTTGTTCATTTGTGCAACAAGTATCAGCTCGTTCATTTCTAAGTCTATTTTTAGTGCTTAGGGTTTTAGTTTAGTGTTTTAATAATATAAAAATAGTTCCCAGCGAGGGGCTCGAACCCTCGACCTTGAGATTAAGAGTCTCACGCTCTACCGACTGAGCTAGCCGGGATAAATTCAATTTGATATAGTACAATATAATCACTTGCAATGTAATCAGATTTAAATGTAATCATGGAAATAGCATTTTTTTTGAATATGTGCATCATTAAAATTATGATTATTGACTGTCACCAGCCGCCTCTATATAACAATAAACACGCACAAAAGGACAGTAAATTAAAATGTTGAGCTTTTCGAGCGTATTTGAGCGTACTTTTAGGTGTATATACACACATACAGCCACACTTCTCACTATATATTAGACACTATGACGGCAATTGCGGAACCTTATTGTGCAGGAGTACAACACCCGAACCCTCTAAGAAAAAAAGCCTCGTGTAGTATACCCAATAGGGACAAGAGGTAGTGCTAAACTGTCGATTGTCCAACCATCAATGGTTCGAAATCATTATTGTGCAATGGATCGACAGTCGAAGCATAGATTATTCGACACTATATCTGCTATTGGGGAAGATTATCTCAATGGTGGGGCCCGCCCATTATCTAAAGGATTGTATTTCACTGATAGACCAACCAGAAGTGCCCATGGAGACAGGCGACGCATCATCGATGCTTCATCTAGGGCGGATGTGCTTTAGAAAGTTAGACCCTATGGAAGACCAGGTTCCACCAACTTATGATAGTACGGTGGACTACATAGCCCACTTCGTCAATACAAGGCCTCTAAACATACATAGGCCAACATATCACACGGTCTCGCACCTAGAAACCAGTAATGCCCTCCCTCCGCCACTCGCTTCATCTGCTACTGTACCTAAACAATCTACTGGTGCAGAATTGCATGATCAAGCTCGGTTTTTAACGGAGACACTCATGAGGCTGTCTGCTAGTGGCAAAGTGAAACACTCGATTGATGTCCAGGGGAGAGCCGTAGTATACAATCCTGTGTAACGTCGAATGTTGGGACTCTGTCATCAGCAAATGTAAATCCGTAAGCACAAGGATATGATGGTACGCTATACACAATATCACAGGCCATCGGCAACGCAATGTCGAACGTTCAAGGAGCCATCCGGGCACAATTAAGCTCTCAACCAGTTGTATCACCACCGATCCCACAAGCTATGTATTCTTTTGCAGATAGCGTGGGAATTCACACACGTCCGGGATCTGTTGCTCACGAGATTGTTGATCACGACGAAGCTGGTACGCCATTCTTGGACGACGACACTCAGCCTGTAGTAAACATGTCCGATCTCTTTGTATTATCCATGGATAATGGCATAGTGTGGACGCAGATCTGCGTGTGATGGACAGAGAAGGTCGAGCAAAGCAACGGCCTAAGCTATGTATTCTGTCAGGAAGTCCTAGTCCTTTTACTTAAGGGCGCTGTTTCCGGAAGAGTATTTTGATGAGCACTTAACACCGGCAACCAACATCAAACTGGAAGGGAGAAGAAGCATCCTATAGATAGGAAATAGTGCTAAGTATGGATATTACTATTGACTACTTTGCTCCCTCGGAAGGTGCGAATCAATGTCTCGTTTCCAATGCCAAACTTTTCAACATTGATGCTACATGCCATGTTCAAGCTATCTCGGAGTGCCGATCACTTCGAAAGGATGACAGATACTCGAAGGGTGGAGGGTGGGAAATACGACCCATAATAGAAGTATTCAACCGAAACTATAAATGCTGCTGCGACGTACGCCGACTTTCGGCCCCGAATTTAAAATTATCGCATTATGCAGGTCTTATATTTTGTTTTCAATAGACCTCGTTGACGGTACAGCAGGACCTACACATCCACTGCATTTCAATATACGAATATGACCATAGTTCTGCGTCTGACAATGACTATACGAGGAATAGCTCGTGTGAAAGTGTTGGATAGTAGAATCTGTGTCCTACAGTGGCTGTATGAACTATTGCTGCGGGGAATCTATGGTATGTTTGTAATAAAAAAAGAGAAATTACTGGCCCCGAGGTATTCCCGGAGACGAACTAAAGAACAACGTGGCATCTAAACCTATGTTTGACTTCGATACAAGGAAAAACATCTTTGTATATGACGATGTAGACGGCACGGTACGTGCTCGCAAAATTTCTACATAATGGTACATAAAGACCAGATATATACCGGCCTATTCGTATCAACATATGGGATCAATGAACGCAAGGGGAAGGATATATACCGCTATAACAGGTCTAGGTAAAATAGACTTGCTTTGTCAGTGACTGCTACCATCAAGGTAGGAATGCAGTCGACCTGAACAATCGAATACATGGAGGGACTGTATGCCTTGAGACGGTAATATACGTTACAGGAATTCACGACTACATAGCGAACACTGTCATGGCAAATAATGGGATGGGCTATCGTCACTTGTTTGGTAATGACACAATAGGCATGGTTGACGCGCAAAGGCTCTGTATTAAACAGAGGAGAGAGTGACCACGCGCTCAGGAGAGGTTCTGCCGGAACATTCAAATATACGAAAGCCAAAAGGAGCTCGGAAGTATGACTCCTACAGTAAGACTTGAAGCATAACATCCAATCGCTACCATAAGCTGACATGTTGTGTTCCAGGGTGCAATAAGCAAACAGTGATACACTGCACATGCTCACCAGAGCACCCTATGTTTCCCGATCAGTATTAAAAGCACTTGCATATAATGCTGTAATGTATAGCACACACAATATATATATATATATATATATATATATATATGCATATATACGTGCATGCATAAAGCACATATATGATTGAAATTTTTTCGAGCTATGGACGGATACTCCCAAGTCGTAAGAACAATACACATATCACTAGCTCGACACTACTATAGTGCGATCCAGACTAAACTCCAAGACGGGTCTCTACGATATGCTATGGATGACGTGAAGTACCGGCTAATTGTTGTGTACACTTTGATCCATTTGGCTACTGTTTTTGCGCGCGGTTTACAGCTGACTGTGACATGGCGTGTGCCTACTATCTGATAGTATACATGCTTTCTCGAGTGCGGTCAATCTATTCGGCCGTACAGCCAATATTTCCGTGTTAAAATAGATTGAAAAATGTAGCTGATTTGTTAATTTTGTGATTAGTTCTTCCACAATATGTATTTTATTTTCTATGAACACGTGCATATGATAGTCAAGTTATAAAATCTTTTCATAAATATACGTGATAGTCGAGTACCTTGTTTTTATTACGTTATCAAATACAGCTCGCAATAGTTATATTTACATTGGAGCCTGTGCCCAGATTACACAGGGCGTGGACCTCCTCCTACAAGCACTTGAGTGGGAGTCCCATTCGAGGACCTTCTCCGTTATATCGCGCTACCCTTCGGTATCGTAGACCAGAGGGGGTTTTCAATGACTTACCTTACACTACAGCGTTCCCCTCTACTCATGACTATACCTCTAGTTCAGACTCATACAGAAGATGATTCAGAGTAATATACATCACTCATTGGGGAAATACATATTCATCCGTATCTATTTCTTAATACACGACATGGCAGTAACTGAATCGCACTGTAAATATTTCCTCATAATTATCAATAAGCTTGGTGGCTACCAGAAGGTAAAACACTTTAACTGTACTACTACAGCGGGGCTGGAGATTGAAGTATGTTGTGGATCCGCATATGAGTGTTTTGTCAGAGGGTTTACGCAAGCCACCCGGCTAGGGTATCCTAATCGGGTGCATATACTTCGAATACAAACATAAATGAATAAGTACATAAAAATTGGCCACAGAAACTACAAGTAGATAATACCTACACTCAAACGCTGACACATCGAACTCGGCCATACTGTATTATCGCACATCTTCAAGACACACATTTCCAAGATACACTGTTCTTCTCAAGTGGTGAGTACTCTAATATTGACCACGGAGGTACTTTACATTTGGTGGTTTCTGGTTTAATTGCGTCAGTTGATATGTAACAATATGACTAACATAATTTTCGATATGGGTTAGGTTCCAACTCGTTTCCATAAAAGTAAAGCGGTTGCTGTAATTAATGTGTTTTATTTTAAGAACAGGACAATTCCCACAATCTGGTTGTCAATTGCAGCAGAACGACATGCGATTACTGTTCAATGGCGATAATGAATCAATATTCTAAGTGTACATATCAACCTATATCTTGGCCAACCCCTCTAATATCGTAGTTCAAATCAGAATTTATACGCCCGTTCACAGGTTATGAGAGGCTCGGTTTATGTAGAGATATAGTCTTGATGTCAACTAAAGGTTTGAATCCTCGTGAATACCATCAAGCGCTTTGCAATAATATGCGGAGTGGGTTATGCTTGGTGATAAAACTTTTCACATATACTTGGAATATGCTCTGCATACAGCTACATGGTGATCATAGCTCGTTCGTCACTGCGCGTGGCTAGATTATATTCACGCGGCATAAAGTCCGATCATCGCATATCTCAAAGACAATTTTCATTCATGTTATCCATATAATCGGCATTTTAAAATGTTATGAACTACTCTCAGGTATATTCCGCGAATTTGATCGGAACGTTGCAACTAGTTAATAAAATATTAGGACGGTATACGATAGAGAATGGAAGTGACACTCGGAAAGTGTCGAAATCCAAGTATTAAACCATAATATCAATTTTTTAGACTCAGCAAAGTCGAGGGTTGAAAAAATCCCACTTGTATACGAAAATAATTTCATACATGTCACGCGCCGATATTGCAGCACTATCAGTATCCAACGAATCGCACCGCAGAAGATTCACTCTGGAGAAAATGGTACATATTTAAGAATGTATTTGTTCTTAAATGACATCTACTCTGTCGTACACTATGACGTAATTTCGTTATCCAGAGTTCTATGTGCACATGATAGGACATTAGTGATTAAATTGTAGATACCTTTATTTAGGATATGATATGTGGATAACTTCATTTAGGATGTGATATGTCAATTTATAAGGCTATGGTGATATGCAGATAATCATCAATCAGAGCAACACGACTATGAAACCAATATTTCCGCTGGTCGATTACCGGCGAGTAGCTCGCATCGACACGGGCAACAGAGCAATTCATGATTTTGTATATTACATCGTGACATCAGATGAGTACCTCTGCAAACTCAATAGTTTCTGACGACCTCGGTGGTTTCCTTATTTTCCGATCTCGATAGCATCCACTGTAAAGCATTCGCGCAAGTAGCATGCTAGCAGCAGGCAATACTAAATATGTTATCAGCGTATATTCGCATAGTGTATTTCCTTGTTCGAACGCTGATCTACATGTGGCGTAATTAGTGTTGTCGGGTAAGGTACTGAACCATACGGCGCATGTAGGAACAATGTTAGTAGAGACACAATAGTTCACTATGACTTGTTCAGAAATAACGATGTTGGTATAAGTCGTTGTAAGTTGCTCTAACATAGTGAACTATATGTTGGAGACGAATTCATAGAAAATGTTGACCATTCGGAATGTTACTTGACTCAAATTACTAGTCGGGTAAGAATGTTCAAAATTATAATACAATAGAAATGCACAGATCCCAAAGTCTATATTCCCGGCTAGCTCAGTCGGTAGAGCGTGAGACTCTTAATCTCAAGGTCGAGGGTTCGACCCCCTCGCTGGGAATATTTTTACTTCGTAATTTTTCTGGAATCAGTACATATCTAGAACATGTAACTAAAATCCATAGTTTTTATATATAAAATTAAATACTGCATTTCTGATGATTGGACCAGCATCTATAAATAAATAAGTCCGAACCGATCGGGGAAACGAAGAAATGATTTGATAAATAATTTAGTTAAATTGGGAATATGACATATCTGTAGTGGATTAGTTCAATGGCAGAACATTGCTTTGTGGAATCGTCTCAACAAT